GACACAGTGGAGTAAGGTAAAAATGTGTCGACCAGTAGTAAAAGAATTGAGTCAGTCAAGCAGCACGAGGAATAAAGCACTAAATGTGATCCAAATTTCTGTCATTTAAACTTTGCGCATGTACGACACAGCACCCATTTCGTTATCCATACTGTTATATTAGGTGGCGTGATTGGGAATGTAGTTGTTCTCCGTTGCTAGTTGTTTTACTAGAATTCATGAAACATAGATGACCCAAACTCAAATAAACAAACATATTCAGATAAGGGCTTTACTCTGTCACCACTAACTTATATGTACGTGCACGCAATAAGTCTTTCGTTCCTTCGAACCTTGCAGCCAACACTTATCTATACAGGCCAAGGATTGATCTCCCGTACGAGGATAGTTCTCTTCAAGTACCATTTATGACAATAGGTTACAACTGTCTCGTTGCAAAACGTTACAACGGTCTCGTTGCAAAACCTCTGAGGCCCGACTACTACTTTTTTCGCCAAAATTAAAGAACCACCGATAATTTTGTAATGGAATGTCCGGGACTTAATATTCCTTCAATCAGCCAGGGTAATAGATTGGGGAAATTCCAACAGTAAAGGTATTTTCAGCTGTAGACAATTTATGAGTACTCATATTCTATATTGATTGAATTTCATTTTTTCTCGGGTTGCAACAGATGCCTTCTGGTTTTAGTATATCGCCTATTAAGAACCTTATAACTGACCTTTGCATTTTGCAGTTAGTTTAGGGTAGCCTCGTTGGGCAAGTGAGCTGAACTCTTTACCTGGTGTACCATGGGTCAAAATACGGAAGCCTATGAAACATTTAGGATATGCACAACTTAGCGTTGCGTGTCAGTAAGAGAGAATAGGAGAATAGTTGGGATAAACGACGCACCGTAAGTGAGGGTTTTTCTCCCGATGATGAGCTTGATGCTCGTTAGCAGTAGGCGGTAACGACCTAAGAAGTGTTGCGTCTGGAACAGCAACATTTTTTTTACATGCGGATGGGTTTCCGAGGTAAGTACTCACGCGAACCGCCGACATATTTTGCGGCAAATGACGCCGATTTTTCTAGGTGCTCGAGTCATCCACTGTACACCTTTATAATAAGTGGTAAGGCTTAAAAACAGGGGATATCCATTTGGCTGTCGTGAAAAGACCTTGGGACAGAAAAATTTAACCACCAACAGTAGTTGCAGAAGGGAGTGCCCGGATAGTGCGCATTTCGCCGTTTTGCAGTCTGTTCCGAATTTTGAAATCGTCCCTATTTTTGCGATATGCTTGCTTAACCGACATCTAACAAAATAGCGGACGGCAATCCCTGTTAAGGCGGCCAGGGTCTTCTTCGCTGCGAATTCGTAGCGAGGTAGTTGGAGACCAAATGAACGTTCGTGCGACAAGAGCTCCACTCCAGTGTGTCCATTAACAAAAGATACAACGATGGGCCCTGTGTTTTACATGTTTATTCATTATTTTCCGGAGAGAGTGCTGTTCTCCAAGCCCAATTCAGTGTAGTGTAGGATGGTGGTAAAACCTGGACAGGGCACAAGTCTATACTGGGGATTGCAATAAATCTAGGTACTGTTGGTGCCTTCTAGAATGAGGTCCACGCCATCCCCCAGGTGCATGGTTGGAGACGCTGAAAGATGCGGTTGCTAAGTGAACTCAGTAATGGATTTGTGGTATTCGAACACTGCTATTGCCGACGATGATGACTTCGTTTGGTTGGTAATGCACAACAATTCGCATGGATGTCACGAGCGAATTTGAAAATCATGAGTTCAGGTCAATCGGAGCCTATTGAAATAACCCCCACCCTCCGTCGGAAATCATGAATAGGTATTTGGTCAGTATATAACTTACTTGTTCGTTTTTACTTGAGCAAAGGAAACGGTCCCAGATAAGTAAGGTTGTTATGCAACTCAAAAGGCATCATATTTATCCGTCTGTTGCAACCCCATCTCTTGCTCGTTGTCACGTTACGACTGTATCAGAAGATAACAACAAGCAGGATTGCGGCCGGGATGGATTTCTTTATACGGCAAAAGCTTAAAATATCAACTCCTTTTAAACGTTCCATAATCCCGGTTTGCTTTCATTTCAAGACTCTTTTGAATCCTGCTACCGTACGCAGCAGTTCATGTCATATTTTGGCAAATATCATGAGATTACGGACTGCCAGATGCATGACAATCAAAGTTTGCGGGGAGCTTCACAAGAGTTTTGCTGGAACACTGTTCGACAGAAAATGCATTGTTTGTTATTATCCACCAAAATGATTAATTGGATGGGGACTCTACAGATGGAGAAAATCCTAGACATCAACGCTATACTAGTAAAGAAGAAGGCGCAAGCAACTCTGGAAATTCTTAGCATCCCAATGTATACAATCATGAAGCAAGAATAAAACGTTTTGATGCCCCATTTTTTAATTCAAGAAGATACATTAGAGGTCAGGATATGCCTTCAATGTATCTCATGTTGCACTGGTTTTGATGATAGATTGCAAAACAGTTCTGCATATGAGTCTCAAAGGTCAGTATTGCGTTTGAGGAATCACGTCATTTGTAGGATCAACGTTATCTTTTTCCGCGATTTAAAGTTGTGTAGATAGCACATAAAACAGGTGTTGGTCGTTGGCTTGTTCGCTGAGCTGGGCAATTTGATTGCAAACATTTCATCACCAGTCGAGGTGACATCATCAGTGAGTTATTGTGGAGCGTAGTAGCGCGTAGCGGTGGGTTGGTGGTGTATTCATTACTTTCTAACTACATTTGCCTAGTTGCGGACAGAGAACAAATGATTGCCCGTAATAATAGGCAGGGGTAATACTGTCCTACATTTTCGTCGTATCTGTATTGTCAAGCTTCATTCCTTGAACCTCCGTCGAAAGATGTCTTATTGAGTACCGTCACCTTTGGTGCCGGACGGACCTCTCGTAACCACGGGTTCTGCTTTTGCGTTAGTCGATAGGATAAAATTGTTGGTTGTCTCTTCTTTTCATTTGTTTATACTGGCACCTGCAACACTGGTTGTTCTACTGTTGCGGTCGATTCAAGTAAAGCAGAAGGTTAACAAACTGCAAACCATGTCCTGTTTCTGTGTTGGGCGGATAAACGACAACACCACTGGCAGAGTTTGCAAAACTGCATGGTTTCGCAGCCTAATCTGATTTACTGGATGTTTTGGAGTGCACTGTAAATGACTCAAACTCTGACATCCAAAAATAACAGGTCTCACATAGTGAATTTGCCGGCCGAACTTGCCCCACAGGCCGTAGTACTCGGGCAAACACAGTGTGAAAATAGTCCATCAAGTTTGGTCACCTGAACAAGCTTTTGACAGGGAATGAACATGGTGATTTGCATGCTAAGAGGCCTAAAGGAACCTTTAGTTCGAAAGCATGGTTAACGGGAAAACGGATTTATTTTCACTAGTTTATGAAATGGACGAGGGTATATGGATTCACACAACATCAAGAACCCAAGTTGCGGTTTTAATGCGCCAGTGAAATGCAGAGAGTGTAAAACGTTTGTTTCTTACAGGACAATACCAAGACGAACATGCTGCTGCGGTGTGAGTCCGAAACTACACTGGTTCAGGTCAACTTTCAACAGACTAAACTTGCTTCACATGGAGCATCAAAATGTGTTTCTGAAAATTTCGAAACCCCCTAACTCTAACCTTAGTTGTACTAAAGTGGTATGAACGACCACCTCCAATACATAAGTAACAAGATTATGTAAGCCGTGAAAACTTTAGGAAGGTGCTTACTTTTCCTCTTTTGGACTAGCCAAATCCTCGGGCTGCCGTTCGAACGGGGAGCCATTCTTTTACCAAGCATCAGTGTATCCAGCTCCGAAAATTATGCTAAATCTGTTGTTCGGACATAACTGGCTTGAAAATATTAGCTTCATTTTTATGAACGGTCTTGACTGACAGTGTTTTCCAACAAAAATTTCATTAGTTTACCCGTTACGTAAAAACCCTCTTGCATTCTTCTGACGCATATTTTTTGGAAAAAAGGGTAATTTAAGGAATTGGTATCTTCAGTTTCGCCTTATGCATACCAATCAATCAGTAGAGATAGCAGAGCTATATTTTTCATTTCGCAAAAATAAGGTTTAATTGATGGTTTTTAACCTAGAAATTTGATTTGCCCACTACGCAGTTCCTCTCTCCGATGCATACTGTTGTGCCTTTTTCAATCACAACAAATGATGCGGTTATAATGCTCATACGCACATCAGAGGAACAACAATAGTCCCGGTGGTATGATCAGCCAAAATTTATCAAAAACCTTGTAGACTTACGCTTATTCTGTCCTGTTTAATGAATATTGTGTATGCGGATTTTGCTTTGTCAACTTATAGACGGAAAGTTCTGATGTACCGCTCGTTCTAGATAAACTTAAACTGTTGGCACCCGTCACACAAAACTCGTTCGTTGAGAGTAGTGTTACTTTGGTGGCAGTTATACAGCTGCTGACAATTGTATGCCGCTACTGTACTTCCAGTTGTTCGCCGCGCGAAATTTAAATGGGTCCCTTCGGTGTACTCTGTGTCTAGCTGATAATTCGTAGCATGAATTGGATGAAGTGCGGGCTATGTCTTTCGATATAGAAGATCGCCTGATCAGCCTAAACGGTTTCACTACAGTGACACACAAATATACCATTGTGTCACTGCCGGAGGCAATTAAACATAATTACGACGAAATTAATTAAAAAACGCCAAAACACAGCCAGTTGTCGCCTTATGCTTGTAAGTTTAGTATACTTCAAAAAACGGTTTCTCTAAGGAGAATTATTGCCCACCTCCTGCCCAGAATTATGCATGTTTGATTCAAGTCTTTATGGTTATTAATCGTCATTTTCTATGAGAGGCTCGTCTTCAAGCTAACGCGCAAAATTAACCATTGTTTCTGAGCGAGTTTTAGAACAGAAATGTCATCTGGGTCATTCAAAAATTACATAACCTTTGGTTGGGTAAGCAAACTCACTCAATGTTGGTTTCAGGTGCCTCATGAATACCAATCGTAGCAAGTGCAAGGTTCGCCCAGTAGAATGATTGCAGATAAATTTGAGCAAGGCTGGTGGTGTTATCAGACTTTTGGGTGTAACCCCACTTGCCACGAAATCCTTGGTAGGCTGATATAGCGTAGTAGGCACATGCACACCAGTTACATCCCAAAAACATGACATGCATAAGATTGACCACCCGCCAGGTGTTCGGAAACGGTGTTAGATTGGCTACCATATTTTTCCATTCTAGGGCACGGTATACCTTCAGGAACCGTGGAAACCGAAGGAGCGGTTGCATACCAATTTTGATTTGAATCAAATCCAGAGGAAGCAATGAAATAACGTCCAACCGGAAATTTCGGGACTTTGTATAATGTTTAATCATCTTACGTCCATTGACAACCACCAAGCCGTAATCCAGATAAGGTGATCTCATCTGAACCACAATATCCAGTAAGTAGACGAGATCTGCCATGATGTCTAACAAAGTCCACATGACCACATATTCCTCCTGGAGGCGATAGAACGCCTGTCTGGCTACTGGAAGCCACAAGTTATATAGTACTGTCGCAGACAGCAGCGTCAACCACATCAGTAGAATCCGATTGTGTGTCTGAAAGACACAACAAACACTGCATTCGCTTTGACCAAAGCGACGATGGTCTTCAATCAGCTCTGTAGGTAGTGGACTTTTTTTTTCCTCAGGTTCCTTTTGTGGCAAGATGGTTTCTTCAGATGCTACTGGGAAGTCAACTGTTTTAAATGGTTCCGGGAAATCGGTCGGTGATTTGTCATCGGCCACTTCCGGATCATTTGGATTATCTAATGTGGTCAAAGGCGGGTATGTGTGTCCTCCGAATCCAAGAGTACATTTTTCGTGTCCTTTTGATGGCAGAGATTGTGTAGGCCACTGCTGATAGACCGGCATCAGTACGTGCATTTTCCTGGGTGAATTTGTTTGAATCATTCGATAGCGTGTACTGTCACCTCTGTAGTCAAGGTTATTGAGCCTGTGAGCATCCAGCTTGTTTATCAATTTGTCTTGATGTAGGTGTCCATTGATTAACTTGCCATTATGGGACGAGTGCGCTAATTCCAGCATTGTGCACCCGGTAGCCCCGACTAATACGCCAAGAATCTTAAATAACAGAAATGCCCTGGACTTACCTCCTGTGAGTTTTGATTGGTTGGTCCAACCATCTGATCTGATTGGTTTGCTTGGGCTGTGCACATTAATTTGGGAATCATTCAGGCCTGAGTGCTTGAATTGTGATTGACTACGGATGATGCATTTAGGTGCGTAACATTTAGCCTCAGTTTTTACTGGCAGTAACACCGTTATTTCAACAAACTTTCAACATATTTTTGGGGGAGTTAAAGGGTCGTAAAGTCATATAACAACCACCCTTATAAAGCGCAGCATCAGCTTACCGCATGTAAGCCCATTTTTTCCTTACTTATATGTCATTTTTCGGCGAAACAAAATTTGGTGACGGTCGGTTTCGGTTACCAACTTTCAGTAGACATTCTACTCTTCCTTCGAGATGATGAAGATAGGTTAATGGAGGCTCGCTGAATAATATGGTGTTGCTTCACTGTTTCATGAAATTTACGGGGGCAAACCTCTTCGCCCAGTTAGACCAGATCTACGGATATCTTCACTTTTAACCGGTCGTAAAGTATTTACTGGATACGGGTGATTCACGTGATACATGAAGCGGACCGCTAACCATTTACCAGAGTATTATCAGGCATTGTGTTTACAAAAAACTTAGTCTTATCTGCTTTGATCGTGTTGTTAGGTAGACTGTGCTCTGTCCCCGTACAGCTAGAATTATGGAAGGCAATAATGTCGCGAATTTTTATCGCTTTGATATTCCATATAAGAAGAAACACGCCTGTTTTTCATTCTGTTGAACGGTTGGGTAGATTACTTTCCATCACTATTCACAGAGAGACAGTGCAGTTGGAAATGCCTAAGGTAGTTGATGGTAGTGTGTGGGGATTTTGAGATTAAATAGAGATCTCTTCCTGTGGGTGAAGCAAGTCTATGTTGAAAACCTGATCATCTTCATTAAAGATCATCAGTTGAGCGCATTTCCATTGGAGTGAAGACTTCTAGGATAAAAATTTAACTGATTGAGTTAATTATATTTTTCTTGTGAGTTGCTTAAAGGCTGTTGTTAGCGTGATGCGGTCTAAGCTTAGTAGAGAGTTCATCCTTTTCGTCAGAAGCTACTCAATACCTGTTACCAAATGATGCCGTTTCACTGGTTGCAGTTTGGATGAAGTCCTATTTCGTCTAAGTGCGAATGAATCACTGTCATCCGTGGCCGAACGGTTGAATGTTCAGTCTACTGACCGGGTGGTCACTGGATCGAAAATCGCTGAGGTCTCGTGAGATATGCATTGCTGATGATTCCCAATGAAGACGAAACGGTCATAGAGTGGTTCTCAGCTCTTCATCATAGATCAAGCTTACTTTCTGGATGAAATCTAAGTTCGTATTTCTCCAAAACACACATGAGTTTTGGTGAGAAACAAGTTACTTCGTTCCAGCAGAAATGGAATAGTCACAGGGCTGACTTCAAGACTGCTGAGTCCCGTATTCAATTCCTATTCTCATGAACTACCCACCGGGTGAAGATCTTACCGCAATGACATTTGGTAAATGACAGGTAAGATGTGTGTTTCGTGAAACTAGTCAGGTTAAGAAATAAATGGCTGCAGCCGGTTACGTTGCAAAAACCACATCTAAGCTCTTCTCAATAAACGTCAACCCTTGACACGGAAGACGTTTAGTTCTGTTCTGATTTAGCACCAAATGTGACAACCACACTGAAGACCAAAACAGCGAACATGACAAGTTGTTCTCACTGACACAGGATGTTTGACCTGGCTCCGTTTTTCCTGTGGCTTTCTGTTGTATCAGGTCCCAGTCTGTCAGCATTTGACACGAGTAAAGCATATGTGAAACCACTTCGAAGAAGGCGACACTAACCGAAGAAGTTTGGTGACAAATGTAGTCATCGTATGCTGCTTCCAGTGCAGTCAGTAGATAACAACGCAAAATCTGTTCTTGGGAATATCAACAGACTTTCCCAGAAAGACAAACGAACAATGCAAGCCACATATGCCCGTACCCACATCGAAGTTTTCCCACCGATTTACAAAACTTTCATAATTCCCGAATAACTGATCTCATTTCAGCTATCACACCGGAAAATTATTTCGATTTTTTGAACCGTTTACGATTTGGACGAAATGTACTTTTTAGTGTTTCACATTTAAAGTGGGATACCTGCAGAATTAAGCGGCTCGGATGTGATTCGAACTAGTCTGCGCTACCTTTTGACCGACCGGGCATTATTAGAGCTGCATTGCAAAATATGAGCTCATTTTTAGGACGATTGTGTCACCACACCACAGAGAAACGGGCTGTTGCACGGCTATTTTGTTGTACATTTTTGAACACATAAAACAGAAGAGTCGTCGGTGGGTAGATGGAACAGATTCAGAATCTTTACCACCGAGATATCACAGCAAGCTAATAGTTAGGGTACTTACAGCGGTACGACTGATTCATTCCGTGTAGGAGCAAGAATTCGGTTTGGCAGTATCGTACATCCGTCAGATCATTGATGTCATTGCACCCGAATACGAAAAGCTAATAGTTAGGGTACTTACAGCGGTATGACTGATTCATTCCGTGTAAGAGCAAGAATTCGGTTTGGCAGTGTCGTACATCCGTCATATCATTGATGTCATTGCATCCGAATACGACTGTTGTACATTTTTGAACACATAAAACAGAAGAGTCGTCGGTGGGTAGATGGAACAGAACCAGAATCTTTACCACCGAGATATCAAAGCAAGCTAATAGTTAGGGTACTTACAGCGGTACGACTGATTCATTCCGTGTAGGAGCAAGAATTCGGTTTGGCAGTATCGTACATCCGTCAGATCATTGATGTCATTGCACCCGAATACGAAATTCAATTGAACTTTGCTCTTATAACCGAACGGGCCAAACGCAGAGTGGGTATCTTTACAATTTCTAGTGGATATCCGCTTGTTTTAGCTATCTCCTCCAGATTATTCGGTTTTTATGTAGATTTTTCCTGATCTTTAGTGCGAAGTAACTCAAACTTGTTAAATCTCGGGCATTGCGAATGCTCCGGGCCCAAGTGTCTGGAGTGTGCTAGAATTCTGGACTGTCGAATGAGCAATGTTCAGCGCCTAGGATAACTTCGTTGTTATTTGTGTTGATCTCGTTGACACCAAGTGGTTGCTTGGGTACATTTTGCACATTTAAAGCCGTCAGTTTAGTAGAACGGACGACTGACCTTAAATAAGAAGGATTAAATCCAATGTCGAGTGATTGGTTCACGACATGGCCCCCCAAGCACCTCTATTGTGAACTGTTTCAATTTCATATGCTACTCATGAGTAGCTCAGAAGCGATGTGAAACATTGGCAGCGGGAGTTTTGCCTCTACACACTGGATGGTGAAAGGTACATTCAAAATGGTCCAGGTTTGAGATATATGCAGAATTTTACTCTCAGTCGAAGAGTAATAAAGTGTACCCGTGTGCCCCAGAAACAATAATGCTCTTCCCGTATATGATGTGACGGGACAGGAACACGCGTGGACAGGTAAGTCAGTGACGCACTCACATGCTAATATACCAGTGTTGAAAGCGAAGACCTTTGAGGCAAGATGAGAAGCGTGTACGAAGGTGCGAACATATGGTTATCAAAGGTACAGGGGCGGAGTAACAGTTAGATTCATTAAATCCCATACCCCATGAAATCTTACCAGATGAATGCACCAGGCCTAGGTACGACTTTCAGAATGAATTACCAAAGTGTTTCACCTCTTTCTATTTCTTGAAAGAAAAAATAAGTTTAATCGTGTGGGCATAACCAACCTCCTCAATCTATTCATCTGTAAACATCTTCGGTCGCTTCAAAATGGCCTCAATTGTTCAAGGTCAAAGCGTGGTCACTAGTTTTCTGGCAGTTATAGGAAAGTGAGAATGGCGAGTGGCTCTGCAATCAACCCACTAGACTACCATTCATTAGGTATATTCATTAGCAGGGTCATCAGAAGTGACTACGAAATCAGTGCAGTACCAACGGTTTATTTCATATCAAGCCATTGGCTCGAGATAACAGTTTCTCTTATGGCAGTCCTAGCAGTTGATACATAAGATCCATGCAAACTTCTGAATCATTGTTAGGTCTTTTGTAGATGTCACCAATGCAAGACACTGGAAAAAGCTGAAGCCAAACCCATATGGATAAACGATATGGATTCAGTCCAGCCATTCTTTGTCTTTCAATATCTTCATGAACACAGGCAAGCTTCTTTACCGTTAGGAAAAATTCAGCACACGGTCCACAAGCTTTTCAAAACTGGCCTGTTCCCTCTGACGCGTCAGATTAAAAGAATAAATTTCACATATATGTAACACTGGTGTATCCACGTCAGGTGGCACAAGCTTAAACATTTTGGGATGCTGATTGATTCAAGAGCTGGTAAACCCATAAAAATAAGTAAAAAGTCGTTCAACTTGGGCACCTTCCGGTGCCTAACTGCCAAGCTGCCCGAAGGCTGCATGAGGGCAGGGATACTGCCAGGTTAGCCAAGCCTAGAGAGAAGTCGAGAGGCAGAGGTCGGGTTTGAACCACAGACCTTCCGGTCTGTAAACTCGCGCTCTAAACACTTGAGCCACCTTGCCCAAAACCACGAAAGTACCAGTCTGTATGGGTAAGAAGTACAGATATCTCTGACAGAGTGCCCAATCTGATCTAGGACGAAGAAAACATCATAAACGAGTGATTCAGCTGGGTTCCAGGTTAGTTTTTTTGGAAACGTGTGCATTTTGCCAACAGTCTGGGGTCAAGTGCAACCAGAAGGAGGCATTTTTGTCACAATATTTATGCGTATGACAGTTATAATCTTAAAAAAATCATTCACGATAAGCGAGACCATGGTATTTTCAGGGGGTCTATCGCGAGTAATGTCTTGGTCTAGTAACCCTTATATGAGGCACGGTTATCTTGTTGTAAAATCGCTCAAAAAGACTGGAGAAAACGATGAAAGGACATTGAAATTCGTGGAAGAGGAGACACTTGCTGTGGTAAATTTTCTAACAGTAAAAAATAAATCCTTTGATTTTTAAAAGGCAACTGTACAATTCGTGATAAGCTTAGAATATTTATAGTCGATATTTCACATCGGT